AAGCAGAAAGTGTTTGCGTAACAGCGCGTCCTGAGGCTACTAGCATGTCAGCGCCTAGAAGAACAGAGTTGCCGCCTTAAAGCCGCAGGTGTGGGCAGGCTGCTTGCTACGCGGCCGCCGTGTGTAGCAAGTCATCGCCAGTAGCCCAAGCGTCACCAGTCAGCAAGCCGGGGATGCTGGGGATATCTGGTGATGCGGAGGTACAAAACTGAAAGCTGCAAACCAGCTGAGGGGTGCAGGCCATAAAAGGCACAAGTTCCGAACAGCCGCAAGTTGCGCGAGCTGAAATGATGTCGGCAAACGTGACAAAAAGATAGTTCGCTCAGCGCCTCCAGGCGCAACTTGGCCCAACAGCCATCCGAACTTTGCACAAGCTGAACAAGGTCCAACATTCAGGACAACCCTCAATGATGCAACGGGTCAAAGCTTGTTTTGGCGAGGCAGCAGCCCCGCCCTTTTGGAGTTTGTGGACTGTGTTTTTTTCTAGATTCCAAAGAAGCGAGACAAACATGTATTGTCAAGGCTGTTTTGCCAAAGGCACCTGCCCAGTTCATGTGCATGAGGAGCGCATGCTGCCGCATGTGGCCAGGCGCGCAGTTCGACTGAGGATGGAAGTTGTTCCCAGCTTGTGGCAGTGCGCAGCGGGTTTATGTTGCAATGGTGGCTTGCGGGTTGTTTCTGAAACAAACACCTACTGTAGCGTCCTCAAACTCCTTTGACATTTCACGTTTCCGCATGTGGCTCTCAGAAGGTCTGCTGAAATCTTTGGTTGAAACCTATCTGGCTGGAGCCACATGCTCACCAAGCAGGGGACACCTGAAGAACTCAAAATCTGACTTGCGTATCCCCATGATTAGCAGATGGCTGGCTGGTTTTGCGATTTACAGAATAGATCATGTTTTTGCGCATTGCAGATTATGGGTTGTGTGGATTTTCGATGTTCCGGCACGAGGTTTTGACCCACAATTTGCAGCGCGGAATATGGATTAAGAAGATTGCCAACCGCAACAAGAATCAAGCAGATTGCCGATTGTGATTAGGCCCCCGAGATTTCGAACAGGCTAGACACTTGCCTGCTTTCGAAATTGCCACTTCAGAAATTGCCCTAAATCTGAAAGCAGGCAAAACGATAGATTGGGAGCAGCGTGCGTCAAATTTCAAAGAGAGGTTTTTCAGCAACATCTGATTTGTGAGCGCAATCGTTTGCAAGCACATCAATGTCTTCAGGAAATGTGCGTTTGCTCAACCATGTGAAAGGAGCACCTCCGCTTTAGATGAAAAAGCGACTATACCTTCGTGATTCTTTCGGCAGGTTGCGCGAACCAGTGTGGAATATCACCTCACAATGGTTGATCCCCCAGATCTAGTCTTGGAAAGAAATGTGCATTTAATCACCCAAGATGTGTTTAGTTGTGGATCTCAAGAGGCAGCCCTACACTGATCTCGATTGAAATTGTGATATATATATATATATAGTTACATATATATGTATATAAATATAGATTCTTTGTGTGCATGCTGAAAGCCATGCCGCTTGGCCCAGAGTCAATTTCAACGCCTTGTTCCGCAAATTTGTCAGGGATCTTCCCTTTCGCTCTGCCTTGGACCTGTCGGGCTTGACCCTGCCGCAGGCTGGGGCTGACTTTTTTGGATCTTTTGCTTGCGTTGATGGACCCCGGCTTCTCCATGCGAGCATCCCATGACTTGAGCTGCCCCCATCCCTCTGTTTTGGCAGACACATTTGGCAGCTGCGTTGCGACGACTATCCGTTGTTTTGAACCAAGTCGCAGAGGATTTGCTGAAACATGGCGATTCCGAGGAGCCAGCGCTGCAGCCGCTGCCACAGCCCGCACGCGCGCCGCCCTCGCCTTCGGCTCGGACATTTGGAGCCTTGACCTTGAGATGCATCTTGAAGAATGTGTTGCTCGAACATGGTTTGTCCGTCAGATGGTCCCAACCCTTCTCAACCAGACAGTGGGGGGGGGGGGTTGTCACTGCGTCGAGGCCACCCTGACTGCTTGAAAGATGGTTTCCGCTGTGCTAATATGAAAAGCTGATTCCATTTATAGTCAAACTTATCTGACTGGCTTGCAAGCGGCAGTGCGGAACAGCCCAAAATTTATTGACGAGGTGTTGGCACCGCAGAGGCCTGGTCGTTGAGTCACAAAAGCTGTTGCATGTCGCTTTGGAGGTCTGTTGCAAAACACACCGGTGCATATTGGTGAAACCTGTGCTGGTTTTGCTGGCCACGTTAAATCGCATAGACGTGGCAGGGCAGAACGCATACAGCCTGTCAGAGACGGGAAGACTGTTAGTCCTTCGTAATGAACCCTGGGCCCGCTTGATAAATCCGGTTCTCTCGGTCCTCTCCCTGTTTGGCCAGTAGAACCAAGTAAAAAGAACTTGTTTCTGTTTTTGATTGCCAATGCTGGAGAGAGCCATGATTACTCGGGAGGGTTGTATGAGGTAGCCATGAAGCGACGTAGCATTGAATTGAAGTAGTATGGGCAGAAGTCGGCAGAAGTATTGGCAATAACTTTTGCATATTGAATTGTTCGTGTTAGTTGGGATTTTGGGGGGTGTCAAAAGCGGATGTGTGGGCTCGTTTGCCAAATCTGGTGGCCTTGAGAGTAGTATCGGCTGAAAGTGGGCCAGGAAGCCGGACAACGTGTTTTTTTCCTGCTGGGTGATTTATGAATGGGGAGAGCATGAAGCTGGACTTGAATCAAACCAGGACCGTGCCAAACATGTCCCCAGCATTCTCCCAAAGAATAGGTGCCAAGAAGAATTTGGCTCGAAACCGATCTCACGCGAGCTTTTACTCTACGCCAAGCGTTTGTGGCAGGCTCGGCAAAGAGGAGTGAAAGCTGGCTCCTTCCAACAGTGGTTGGAGTCTATGCAGGACTCTCAGTCTTTTGGCTGCACTTTCGAAAGTTGATTTGTTCTGCATCAATGCCTGATGAGTAGTTCTGTACTAGGTGGGGATCCCATACTTCAGGTCAGTTTGCTTTGCGGCCGGAATTTGTTGGGTTTATAGTTGCATTGATGTCATTTACAGAGGCATATGTATGATACGCTTTTTTGCGGATGATTCTCGGATTCAAGATGAAAGTTGCCAAACGCCCCTTGCAATTGCTCACAGAACATGTTGTATGTTGATACTCGGTACCACCCCCACAAATGGAATTGTGGGAGGGGGGTGTATTGATTGGCACACGATTTTCCGAGGACCTGGCGCTCAATGAAGTCAATTCGGAGACGGGATGATATTTTGATAACAAGGAAAATGTTTGCTTATTTGAAAAGTTATTTGCCTTTTGCCTTTCGGGATTGTCGCGGATTGCAGGACACTTGAATGTCACTTTTGCCCAAGGTTCGTTCTTCAGTACCACGATGCCCTGGTGACTCAGTTCGATTCCTTGGACCAACTGCTGGATTTGCACCGCGGCAGCTGATTTGCTCGACTGCGTAGAGTCCACCTGTTTCTCCAGAACCTTGCCTTTTTGGCTTTCGCACCTTGTGTGATTCCGTGTCATGCAAAAATCACACCTTGAAGGGCACCACCATGATGTGCAAAGTGGGACGTATTTTTCTGGCATTTCAGAACACATAGCAAGCCCAGGTATGTCCAGGATGGCTTGGTGGATGAGCGCTTTTTTGACATTGCCGGCTCCTCGCTGGAAATGAATCAAAGGAATCGCTGCTTATTACGTCATTACATCATGTATCCATGACATACTGGTCAGTGTTTTGCCACAGCTCCAGACTACAATCTATCTTCGTCCAGCACAAGCCCCAATTTGTGGCATTGCAGCTCAGGTATCACCAAGCTCGGCCATCGGCGCATTTTCCAGAAGTGGTTCCGAGACCATGCCTAGCGGCCTCAGAAGGCCGGCTGCAAAGTGGCTCAGCCCTCGCAAATGCCAACTGTTTCTATCATGTCAATGTGGCAACAGTCGCTATATCAAGTATTTGCGTTACTTAGAAGCTTTGCCGATGTTTTCAGTTCATGTGTTCATATGCTCACTCCACCTGTCCCCGGCAGGTCAACCAATGCAGCTGACCGATCGCATTTCCCGAGTTGCAGCATGGCCCTGGCTCAGGCGCTTGTATTGCAGCCTTGGGCAGCTTCCTTGATTCCTTAGCCTATTGTTTTTTCTTTTCTTTGGCGCAAGGTGCTTCAAGACGACTCCCAGGGCAAGTTCTTCAAGTGCATGCCAGAACATGGCTCTCACGAATCTGTCCGCCCAAAGGGCGGCTGGTTCCAACAGTCCGGAGAATGTTTACTCGGTTACGACCAGTGACCTGCCGCCTTCGGTGAAGCTCTCAAGTTCTGCATTTGCCCAGTCCTCGGTTCCGAGTTTCGCGTTTGGAGCGGAAGCTTCGGGCTGCAAAGGAAGCCAGCACAAGCTCCTACTGGCACAAGCTCCTACTGGCACAAGCTCCAGCTCTGGGCATTTGCTTGTTGTGCTGCTTGGGTCGGGAAGGAACTTAAGTTGAGGCACGATGACGGCATGCTTTTTGATTTCGGCCAGGAACCATATTTGGTTTGCTGCAGACTCCGTCAATCGGTTGCCTAGCTTTGCTACGTATGTATCTTGAGGCCCGACGCAACACAACTGCAGAATTGGCTTAGAATTAGTACCACTCTTTTAGAATCATTGGGCATTGCTTCCTTAGGACAGTGCTGCTTTAGAATTGTGTTGTTTAAAGACGGAAACGGCACCACAAAATACATGTTCAAGCATCACGACTCTTCGAAATAAGGCATGTAGTATAGTAAAAGTACATGTTTAGATATCCAAGCTGTTTGATGGTTTCACTTCGTGTATGTGCGGGTTATTGCTTTGTTCTGCTCAAATCCAGCGGCATAGGGAGAGCGGCACTTGTGGTGGGGCTGGAGAAGGTTTTCAAGCGGTGGGCAGGAGTTGCACAAAGTGTCGGGTCCTTTTGAAACGACCTGCTTTGAAAGGGGCTGGGCATGAATAAAATTTGCTGAGGTGCATTCTGAGGATCCTGAAGGACCAAGTCAGGGACAACGATCTGGCTGGGAGACTCAGTGCGAAACCGGGATTCGAGTTGGTTCTGAAGCATATGGCCGAGCCCTTGATCTTTTGGCACCTTTGGGGCATCACAGGCATCCGAATGATTCACCGGTGGGGAGCGCATGGAACTTGCAAGCCGGGTACAAGGGATCGTGTGGGTTTCATGCTTTGAGATGTTTGAGGAAGATGTGCGTTTGAGGTACTCACTCTGAATGTCCATTGTAGTAGAGCGTATCAGTGTCTGGGTTGGCGCTAACGCTCACATCCCTGTGGATTCTCATCCATGGGGAAGTCTGCATGTGTGCCTGCTGCAACAAGCAGACTCCCTCGCTTGGCAGCCCGAAGTATACCCCCGGTTAGGCATCGTCATTGTAGGAGGGCCGCTTGCTACTGAGCAGGGTGCTGGGTCATTCGACGGGTCTGTCCATTCGCTATGTATCGAGCGCAGCGGGGTCTCAGGTTGGAGTGGTGTGCTTCGGCCCCAATGTGCAGACCATCATTGCACCAACACCAAAAGGGCGGGCTAGCACAAAGTTTGCAAGGGGCGGGCGAAATCGGAGTCGACAGTGCATTTGACTGGATAAACGCTGACAAAAGGTTTGTTGTCAGTAGCGCGTAGTTTGCGTTTCTAAGCTTGTGGCGTGACAAAGATCGCGTACCAAGTTATGATGGACGTTTGTTGATTTTCGGACACAATGCACCCCATGCCCGACGCAACGTCAACTCAATCCTGAAGTTGTCTTGCACCCTGTCTACAGTAAGCTCTGCCCGAACCCCACCCCACCCCAACCTTACCCAAGCAATGTGAACCACTCGCCTGATGCTTGTACTATTCATGTGACAGGCCAGCCTTCCAGGAATTCAGTTTTGGGAAGAGGAACAATTGGTTCTTGTCGGAAGGGTTTGACATCACGCGAACCCTAGATTTGCATCTAAATGGTGCGCTGAAGTTGCAGAAGCGAGCGTCGGCTTGTGGCTTTGCCAAGATGGGATGAAGCCAGGCCCATTGGTGACCTAGCCAGCCCGTTGTTCACCCATAGCCCCTTGGCCCTGGAACCAGGATGAAGCCATCAGAACATGTGTTGATCGAACCCAAGCTTCCGATCAAGTTTTTTCGTTAGACTCGAGTGCTGCCGACAGCTGAGTCTTCCTAGCCCATCGGCCAAGAACACCCCGAAAGCTTCAAGGCCTCCACTTGACCACTTGCGACAGATAATTCTTATAGATTATTAAAGTATAGCTTTGGCACCGAACCCCTGTAACTTATCACCGGAAATCCTCGGGAGCCGATTCTAGAAGCCACAGCAAGAGTTGCATGGGGTATAGTGGGATACAAACTGACATGAAACACAAAACGAGGGGGCCAAAAAAGTGTCCTCCAGCTACAGAGGTGGTTTGGGGTGCCATGTTGAGCTGTAGGGGCGTACTGACTCAGGGGTTTATCCTGTAGAACTTTCCAAGATATAACCCACCACTAGCTTCGCCAGGGTTGGTGGGCGCATGCTGCAAACACGGATTGCCAGCCTGCAGCCGGCCAACGCCGGAGGACCCGCACGGGATAGGTTTTGGGTCAGATTGGCACTGCACAGATGTGTTTATTCTGTTTTCACTACTACCTACTACCCTCCCAACAAACGTGGAAGTGCACAGACCCCTTTTGAACCTTAACGGGAGGATTTTGTTCACTTCCAAGTTTGTTGGTGAAAGGGTAGCAGTTTCCGGGCTTGAATCTTATTATCCGGCTTTTACCACGCGGGAAAGGAGAGAGAATGGAGTGCTTGCATCACCTTTTCCCATATTCAGTGTTGGTTGGCTGGTGATGGCCAGTGTGGTGCTTTCGTGTCACGGTGTTGTCCCTACCCTGTTTTGCTCGTTTACTTGCTAGACTTAGTAGAGGAGCAACAATTTGTCACACCATATTGCCTTGACCCAAATGGCAATTACGCAGACTTGGTCATGTCCGTGGCGTGCGTGTCCAGCTTTGTAGAAGATCGGGAGCTTGGATTTGATTGTTGGGAAGGCTAGCAGCAACATTTGGCACGAGACTTGTTCCGGGACAGGGCAGAAAGCCTGAGAAGCAGATCGGCCACTGAGAAGACCTCTATCGTCTATACTGCCTTGTTTTTCCCAAAATCATTCAGATGCCACGCTGTTGGCGAGTGATGGCACTCTGGCTTGTGTTTCCCGTTGCTCGCCGGCACTCTGGCCACTTTCTATGGGCAAAGCCTTGCTCAGTGCAGGAACCTGCTTCTACGATGCTGTGCGCCTGGCAGATTTGATTCGGGTTCCCGGAACCAGTCGCTTTGAGCCACAGCTTCCAGTTCGTTTCACGCCCGAATGATTTCGGCGAATTTAGTGCAGGTCCTGGAGTGCCTTCGCATGCTGGGCAAGTGCGAGGCTTAGCCAGCGTCACTCGGGTTCCCTGGCGTCATTGATTACCACAAACAAGTGCCCCCCTCGAGTGCTGCCTGGGTTCCAGAGAAGACAGGCAACATGACGAGAGGCAAGGTGGGAGGGCCGGGCCCATGTGCAGCACAGAATCATGTCTTTATGCCATTCATCTCCAAGGCCAGACCTGGTTCCGAGAGAGGCTGGCAGCTGACAACTAGCTCAAGATCCCGTGAGAACGCCTGCGAGACTTTGAATGTGAAACCGCACAAAGTTATACAAATCTCAGGTGATCAAAGTTCAGTTTGGTCTAAATGCAGCTTGTCTACTCCACAGCTCCGTTGTGAAGCAAAGCATTGCTTCGGAGGCGCTGCGGTGGCTTGTTTGCCTCACGGACGGTGACGACTTGGGAAGCAGCCGTGGCCTCGGACTGGGAGCACGACGTCTTCTGCTGGGAAGCGATGTTCGTGGTCAGTCAAAGGGGTATGGGTCAAGATTAAACCACCAGGGGACCGCAGGTTTTAGCCCATGTTTCCATTTACCAGGGTTCCATTTTGGGTACCTATTTTTTACCCACAGCCAAATGACAATGAGGACCTGAGAGCAGCAATTTGGCGGTAGGTTGTTTTTAGCATTGTCGACAACTAGAGGGCTGCAATGCTTGAGTGCCTCGGAGTCTATTTTGTTCGGGCTGCCTATGTGCTACTAGGAGCTGGAGCCTGTTCACGCGTCACCGTTGACATGGGGCGTATGGCATGGGGCGTATGCATGAATTCATCTATCCGGCGATCTGCCCAGCTAGGGCCTCTCTTGGTTCACACGTGTGTTACATATTTAGAGGTACGGTTGCAGCGCTTGGGGCGCACCTGCCTTGTTTCAGGTCTTCCAAATGCCCGGGGACAGAACGTGACGAAGATGCTGGCGGGACAGCTCAGTCACCGGCACCAAGAGACCTCGTCAGGCCACGAAGCCATTGAGGCCCTTGCCATTCGGACTGCCATGAGACCCTGTCAAGCCCAACATGCTATCAGCCCTGTGGCTGGGACTGATTCTGAATCATGAACTCGAGCATGTTTGGCCCGCTATGGCCTGCCCGCGGAAAATGTCAATCCTGATTGTGAGGCAAGTGGAAATGCACCTGCAGCCCTCCAAATGGTGAGCAGCTCAGAGGTGTTCTCCGTGATGAGTAATTGCTTCTTCGTGCGTGGTTGTGACATGTCCTTGGGCATTTGACAGAGTACACCGGTGCGCATCGTCGCTCAGAAACTGGCCGTGCCACTTATAAAACGCCAGCGGCCTCATGGCAGATCAAACCATCAAGCTAGCAGTGGCCAACGCTGACATTGTTTGCTTTGATGTTCTTCTTTGCTGCCTACGACAGCTCCAGATGGAAGACCAACTGCTGGTTACGCGATGCATGGAAGTGCCCAGTGCAAGGAAACCACCCAAGATGCTGCTTGCCGGCTCTGCAACTTGAGGTGATGATCACGGTCGGCAACCTGAAGGCGGAAAACGTCCAGGCCTGAAGCCTCTAGTTCTTGGCTTACCTTGGAGCCAGGTGCGCACCAAAAGGAGCGCAGGGCCGGTTTGGTCGACTGGTCCGTTCCTTTCCCGGGTGGTCCCCGAAAAATGAGCAGTCCGAAAAATGACGTGCCCTTATCGTTTTCCCCATGGGATTCCATTGGGCAGGTCGAGTCTCACAGCTTGCCATCGCCGAATCCAGCCAGGTGATCCAGTCTTGGGTGCGGCAGGTTACTGCGCTGGGCGGCGGGGCTTCCAAGTGGTTCTTTTTGCTCATGTCGTGTTGACACCTTGTTGGCATCCGCCCAAAAAGAGGGGAGGAACCCACCCCCTCGTTCTGCCCACTGGACAAAGTTGCTTTGACTCAGGAGCTCACAAGTGGAGTGGTCATGCTACGCATGTAGGCATGTTGAGAGAGAGAGAGAGAGAGGGAAAGAGAGCGAGACTACGTGCCTGTCCCTGCGCTTGTGTGCTTGCGTTGCGCGTGTCTTTGTGTGAATTTACTTTTTACGTGCATGTGCATTATGTGTATACAATATATATAATATTAGTTATTTGAGTATGCGTGCGGATGTGTTTGTGGTATGTGTGTGGTTCCTTTTCCATGTGTGCTTTCTTACTTTCACGAATCTGTGCTGGGCTTGCTGGCTGGCTGGCTTGGCTTGGCTTGCTTGGCTTGCTTGGCGTGCTTGGCTTGATTGCTTGCTGGCTTGCTCGCTTGCTTGGTTGGTTGGTTGGTTCGCTGGCTTGGCCCATTGGCTTGCTTGCTCGGTGTCGAATCGTGTTGTGTTGTTTTGTTTACTTGTTGTGTCGTGTGTTCTTTGTTTGTTTGCTTTTCCGTGTGTTGGTTCTTTCCTGAGCAGGTTCTGTGTGCCGGTGGTTCGTTCATGAATTCTTGGTTTGGGGTCAAGTTGGTTGGTAAACTTGTTTGATTGCTTGCTTGTATGATTTGGTTGCTTGTTTACGAAATATTGTTGCGTGCATGTCGTTTGCTTTGTGCGTGTGTATTTGTTGTCCATTCTGATCATTCTGCGTCGGTACCCTTCCAAGGAAAGGGGCTGCACCTTGGAGACAAGGATGCCACTGGCATCGCAAAGGCACGGGACATGTGTTGATGTTTTTGGTTTTGTCGGAGGTTTGCAGTCTCAGGCCAGCTGACAGATGCCACTGTCCGCCTAATCCCTTGAACGTTTTCCGTGTGAAACACGTTGTCTCCTTGTCACTTGTACGAATCCGCCATTGGGCGAGGGGACCTCACACTTGCGGCAACGCCCAAAGCCTCCGGCCTTGTGAAAGCATGATGGCATTGGCAGTCCACAGCCACAGCCTTTGGCTCAACAAGGCCAGAACCCATGAAGGTTACCGGTTCAACGTTATTCAACAACATTGCTTCCATGCTGCCAAACATTTGGTTGATGACCATGGGCAGCTGTACTGCACAGCACAGGCTTTCGAAGTTGTTGCCGAGTTCCTTGCGGCGGAGACGGGTAAAGCACTCAGGAAGTTGGGCAAGTTTACTTGACACTGCTTGACTCTTGATACTTTGTCAGTTTATTTGCACTCTTTGATGACTGTTCATGTATACGAACTTGCTATCCAAAGGGAGGCTACCAAGCTGCTTGCATAACATGCGCAGTCAGCAAAGTGCAACTGGGAACCAGCTTCTTCTTTGGCTGCTTCAAAGCAGGACGACAAGCAGCCGCTTGGGGGGGTGTCCCAGATTTTGGGAAGCAAACTCCGTTGCAATCAGAGAAAGGCTTTCCCGAGAACAGGACCTTCTCATTTGCAAGCTGTTCGTAGTTGTTGGGCTCGGCATGATGGCACGAGTTTGCGACTGATGATATGGACTTGATGGGATGTTGACACACCAAGCCCGACCACTCCCTGCAAGAATCAGTTTGAACCATGTAGAAACAAGTTGGTAACTATTTGGGCCCAAAGCTGGGAGTGTGGTCAAAGAATTCCACAAGGATCAGACCACACACCATGGAAAAGCTGCAAAGGTGGCAAAATCCGGTAGATGCACCAGCCCAAATCAAAATGGAATGCCCATGGCCTTCTCAACTGCGGGGATCCTCACGCATGGTTGGACTGCATATTTGGGATAGGGCATGATGAGGCTTGTTAGTTCTGGGCTGCTCGTCTCGTTCAATCAGATGCTATCAGATTTGCTACCACCAGACTGTTTATTGAGGTGCCACAGGTTTCAGCGGCGTGCTGCTTCATTCCTGCATGCATGTTGTTCAGTACAATGCATTGCTTCTCAGCTGTCAAGGTTATCTCTGTTGTTTCGCGTGCCCCTCGATGTCTTTACGCTTGCTCCTAGACGTTGTTCGATTCCCTGAATCCCGATGCCAAGGAGGTGCAACCGAATGCTGACGTGGAGCATCCAAGCGATGCCAGGGCAACTGCCGCTCAAGTCAGCTGTTCCCTGGGCCTTGCTGGCTATACTTTGTATTGTTGGCTGAGCTGAGACGGGCCCTTGTTGAGAGCTGCACTCTTGAAGCGGTTCTTCACAGCGACCAGCAAGCGCCCAATGAACAAGCTGAGGCTTGGGCATAGTTGCCCACTCTGTCAAGCTCTTGCCTTCGCTTGCCAGATGGCACCTTCAGAAGGCACAAAGCGATCGTTTTTAAATGGCAAATGGTTGCCAAGTCAGTCCTAAAGACTTCGATCCATGCCTTGCCGGCACTGTTGGCTTCACAGTTGGGAATGCTGTCCACAAGCTCACAGGGGCGTAATGTCATGAAAGGGGGGTGTTGTTGGCTTGGATTCATCTTCTTAACAGCCGCGCTTAGTGAACCTAGTTGACTTTGATCGAAGCTCAAGAGACTCAGAGACTAGCACGCTCCATGTTCCTCCCATGCCTGCCTTTGTTGACATCACCCACATGTAGCACAACTGCCATGCGTTTTTGTTACAAGAGGTTGCGCTTGTCGATGGCAATGGTGAGTTACAGATGCTTTGGTGACTGGTTCGACAGCTGCGGGGCTGGCACAGGTTCGAAGCTGACTTTCTCCTGTCTCTTCCATCGGTGGCTTACACCTCTGAATGCGAGTGCCTGGTTGCTTTGACCCGGGGTTTTCCTTTTCGTTTGCGATTGACTCGGCGCGGGACTGCGGCGCAAACGTTTAAGGGGCTTGCAAGCAAATGTTTGCATAACCCCGTTGCCTTACGAATAGGCATGTGCCCAAGCGCCTACAAGTGCATGGCGGCTGGTAAAACAGAATGTGTGTTTGCGCGAGCCTGATGAGGCTTGACTGCTTGCTAAGACGTTGGTTGATGCAGCACAGCTGCCCACTTGAGCTTGCATGTGCCATATTCCGACCAAGACTTGCCAGCCGATCAGCATGAACCCAGCGACATCAAAGTGTTGTGTGAGGACCCCAACCAGACTTGACATTTGGAACACCCTTACCAGGTCTCCGCCAGCGAAACATGGAAAGGATTGTGATTCTATCAGTGATGCCTTCAAAGAGATTCAAGCACAAGATAGTTCCAGGGATCACTGCGAGAACCACGGGGCACTAGCCCGGGCTTTTCTCCCACAGCATTCCACCTCAGCAGCACCTCAACACCGAATCCCTGCAGCCCTGCAGCCCTTTCTGCCTCGAGTTCTCCCTGTAGGCGCGCTCGAATGGGCTTTAGCCAAGACTTCTTGTGACTGGCCCACATCAGCACGCCAGCATGTTTGTCAATGAGTTGCAGCAATCTTACCCGGGAGCAAACAACCAGACATCCAAGATGAAGGTTATTCTCAGCCTGGGCAAGCTCACCTGATTTCACCTAGAACTGTGCAATCCTTCTGGAGTTGCTTCGTTTATGGTTACCGGATCCTACCCAAAGGGCCACACAACTCGCCAGCTGGGTCAGGCCATGGCGTATGATCGTGGCCGGGCAGCGAGGGCGACCATACAGCCAGCGGCTCAAGCCCGCTGCCGTTGTTTTGGGGTGTGCTCATGGCGGTGTGTTCCATGACGTTTGGATGTGTGTTTGTTTGCTTATGTGCATTTTGTGCATGTTATGTGTTTCTGTGCGTGCTTGTGAGTGTTTTTGGTCCAAGTGGGTTTTCTCGTTATGCGGTCATTCATGTGTTTTGGATTGCTTTGGCGGCTTAATGGACAAGCATGCAGGTCTGGTGGGGTGTTTTTCAGACATGAGCAAGGCAGGCCCATTGTTTGAAACAGAAGTGGAGGAGAGGGTGGTTCCTTCTTGCGCTGTGAGGAGTGCCCGACGTTGAAATAGTGGTAGAGGTCTTGCAGGGACGCTCCCTTGACCCTACCAATGTCGCATAATTCATAATTTTGCAGAGGACTCAATGTGAATTCAGTGCTAAACGCACAGATCACATGAAGCAGTCAATGCCGCAAGCGTGATTTTGTGGGAAAGGTTTTCCAGAACTTGGGTGGGCACAATCCAGGGTTTGCAGAGGAGTGATGACACGTGATTTTCTGGGTAGCTATTTTGCCTCTGCATGTAGGTTCTGCAAAGCTGTCAAGCGTGATCGCGGGACTTGAGTGGTTTTTACAGCGCCGGGAAGAGGACACCACAGCAACGAAAACGCGCGTTGCCGGCTTGGCCGTGTCGGCGAGCCTCGGTTTGAATCGCAGCAAGCCGTCCTAGATGCTTTAGCTCCAAGTGTGCCTTTGAGGAAAGTCTTAGGGGGAAACAGGCGTGAGTAGGAAAGCGAAAAGCTCTCTTTTGCGCGACCTGTGCGGACGTGGCAACACTCGATACTAGAAACCCTTATTGGAATTGTTGCAAGGGCAACCAAAAGGAAACCCAACAAAAAGAGGAGCCTACAAGGCTACAAGAGCCTTTGTTCTAGCATGATCATTGTTGTAGCTTATAATGCTTTGAAACGGACACGGTAATCGCCGGCTAATTGTTTTGATAGGTGACTTCGGGTCAAGCATAGGTACCCAACCTGGAACCCTGGTAAATGGAAACATGGACTAAAACTTGCGGTCCCCGGTTTGATTTTGCCCCATGCCCATGTCGTTGATGTCTGCAAATGAAAGCGAGCCGTGGCCACGCAGGGCTGAGAGCAGCTGCGGAGACTTGTACACCTTCCTGGATGAGAAGCCGCCCGAGCGCAGCCGCGCGGTTTCCCTGCCAGGCGCGGGGTCAGCGTCCGTTCGTTGATCATCCACATGCGGGTGCAGTAATCGCGATAATATTTTGTCTAAGGATTGTGTTTGTATGTTTGTGCGTTTGGTTATGCATGCACAGCTTAATGTCATGATGTATAAGTGTGATTCAAGCAATGCACGACAGCACGTTTGCGACGCAGTGCAACGCCAGGTAACGTAAAGCACTATATGTCATTCGTCCAAGGCAGGAGTGAAAGTAAGCATGTATGAAACGAATGTACTGGAGCCAGCGGACCTGGGGGCCGATTTCTTCACAACTGAACACGCCTATAGGACGGTCAAGCACTCAAGCAAACCCGGCTAAGTGCCCCTGCCTCCCGGCTCGTTCGGCTGCTGCGTCAGTATGTGTCCTTAGTGGCGTGCAACGGCGTCGACTGCTTGCCACTCAGCTTAGGTCGCGATTAGCTCGCCGGAGCTGCAGAAGTGCACTTCACCGTACTGTACCCATTCCTCGCATTTCTGCATTTTGCCGTCCTAATGGGGAAAGTTTCCAGGAGAGACTCGGCGGGCGCTGAACATATGCGGAGCGCTCACCTTTTTGAAGTGGCAATTCGCTGCATTTTGCTTGAAAGCTGGAACGGCCGCAGAGCGAGGAGTTGGATGCCAGCTCCAGCGCCGAAAGAGCGCGGAGGGTTCACCGTTTTCAGTTGCTGTATGTTTTCCGCACCGTGCAGACTCATAGCTGGGTGCTCACTCCATGCGTTCGAAGGAGTCCACCAGGCGATTTTTCGCCCCGCCAAAGACACAATGCAGCTCGCTATTGAAGTTGGCGAAGTGGAACTTACAGTATGCCAATGTTGGTTTTGGATTGAAGCACTCGTTTTGGACCAAGGAATTGCATTTACCAAGCACATGCATGCAAGCATCATTTTGGAGGTTGCCATTGCAATATTGTGTTTTAGTATGTTCCTTCGCTGCCCTCCAAGGTTTTCCGTGTGGTTCGTGAGTTGCTTTGCGCATTTGATGGACCTGGCAAGTCTTTTGGATCATGTGTAGCGTACCGTCCATGGATCTATCGAAACTGTAGCTTTCTACCTTGTGTGTGCTTTCCTCTCAAAATAAGAAGCCAACAAATTGACATCCCCTTTAAAAGCCGGTGCAACAGCCTCCCCCCGAACTGAAACACCTATCGTACTACCCACTCAAAGGGCACATTCCCATATAAATCACCCAGTGTGTATCAATCCGGGTGAATGTTGACCCAGAATTAATAAACCCGTCTCACTATTGGGGGGGGTGTTCCCTCCGAAAGTGATGAATCTCCACTAAAGGGGGACACCCTATGAATCAACCAGGGGTTTATTAATCCGGGGTTAACATTACCACACCTGAAGCAACGGCCTGATTTCCATCCCCCGGCCAGGCCCCGCAAGGCGCGCCATGACTCCGCCCCGGTCCGCGCGCGCGCAGCCGCCGGGCCTGGAAGGCCCCGCAGCATCTGAAGTTGGCTGAGGGGTCAAGAAGCATCGGCCGACCTCGAAAACCCCTCAAAGACTGCCAGGTGAAATCCTCAGGAGCATTTCGTGGATGGGATCCGCTGCTGTGGTTCAAGGTTTTTAGTGTTTTAGCCCTGGCTGCCAGGGCTTGGCAACCAGGCGAAGAAACTGCCAAGGAATGTGCGTGCTGCGTTCCGTGGGATGTCGGGGTTCGGCAACGCCATGTTAAGCCACCAGCCAGGCTGATGGGCTCCAATGCTCAAGAGCACTAGTGCAAATGGTGTATATCTGAATTGCAGGGCTGGGACAGGACTGTGCAGAACGTCATTGGCAAGAGGGAGAAGCATTTTGTGATGCGAAGGCAAAGCTTGGTGCCTGCTATGGCACAACTTGCTCAGGGCCTCTCATAGAAAAGCCCCTGGTCGACCTTTTTGCCGCTGCCTCGGGATGTGACTGGGAGGGAGCCAGCTTACAAACGGTGTGCTTTCACGGGCGGAAATCACGTGTGCTATCGGTGCTAAGTTGTGAGCCTTTTTTTGGTGCTCGAAGGCGTACATCGGGATGAAGAGTTTGGGGGACCTGTTTGAGGCAGCTTCAGTTTTGCCAGGAGCGCCGTTATGCCTTTTGATGGCATGACTGAATGAGAAGCCGGTGCGGAGGCAGAAGTTCATCACATGGTCATGTCCAGACATAATGCACCCAATTGCTTGACATGGAACAACAAGTTGATCCATATTAGGTCTTACACGTTGCCTTTCTGGAAAACGTGCTGTCTCAGAAATTCTGAGTTAGCACCCTAGGCCTTTGAAAAGTACATGTTTGGTTGTGCACAGGCGCAGTTCGCAGCAGCGTTGCATGATGTTTAGGGTCATGGTGCAATCCCAGGAGTAGACTCCTCTCGCACTTTTCGTGGATGAAACCCGAACCCTGAGCGGGAGCGCGTACTTGCTACCATGCCCCTGGTCATCACATTTCTGCGAGTTAAGCTGTCTGTAAGCCATGCAGGAACCCACAGCATGCTGTCCTGCCAGCATGCCAAGATGCAATGCGCAATGCTCGTTTATGTGTAAGGCCTTTGGCGACCTACACAGCCAGATGCATAATATTATATTAGAATCTTTTAGATGGTTGCTCTGACCATGACATGCTTGCACTGAAGAAGGGCCATACTATGGCAAAATCATCTGATTTTCAGCTGCGTGCATTAGCCATTTCGCGGCCTGTGTTGCCCGCATCCGGCCGCGGTGCTTCGAACTTGCGGCTGCCATGGGCGCCATTTGCACCGTTGAGCACGTGACGCAGTCGGGGCCATAGCCAGCCCAGACAAGCCATGCCATATACAATCTAGCGGATACAGCACTGCTGTTCACGTGTGTCGTCTATGGTGATCCCTTGCGCGCAGTCGTGTCATTGCTTTTCGAACTGCTGATGTCACTACAAGATCGCATGTCTGACACGAGCCACACTCAGAACCCAGTTATACCCGGTTATGGGAAGGTTAGCAAGCAACAGAACAGTCCAGTCATGAATCGGTGCTCGCAAATTGGGTTTCAAGATTTACTTGCTGTTTGGCTAGGGGGGGACTTGCAGCAGTTGGCACAACACTCCCATGTGGCCCACAGTTCTACACACATGGCAAGTAAAGAGGTGCGCAAAGCGCTTTGTTTTCCTTCTACTCTTTTGTGGGGGAAAACAACAGCCATTGTTTTTTGGCGGGAGCGCCTGGTAACCTACCTTAAAATTCGATGCTTCCCAATGGACTTCGAGAGGGCTCCCGCTGACTCAGGTTTGGAAAGGGCACGTCGGTCGCAGGGCACTCAGTGGACCGTGTGTTCCAAATAGCGCGCAAAGCACGCGTGCGCGCGAGCGCACAAACCACTGCGCTCATGACGCAGGCGCTTCCAGAAGACATTTGTGTGCAAGCACGGCCAGGCTGATGTTGTTAAAGCATGTGTTTTCAGGCCAGTAGGTGCTGATGCGTACCACGCACGCATGCCTACACACGCATGCTTTGCCGCGCAAAGCCACCACACACACAGTCGCCACAAGCGCAAGACACACGTCGCACCGGGCACACACAGAGGCATACAGGCATACACATGCAGTCACACACACACGCACACACACACACACACACACACACACACACACACACACACACACACACACACACACGGCGCCTGCGCATGCACACAAGCACACAACGGACCCGCAGAAGCGCACATTTCCGCACGCACAAACGAACACTTGCGTATACGCAACAGCCGGCAAAAACACGTCACAACAATACATTGCAATGCGGAAAGGCACGAGGCAACACAACACACCACACCACACCACATTAGACAAGATAACTGACAACGCGCGCGCGCACACACACACACAACCAATGCACTCACGCTCCGCAATTGCAAACAGAGTAAGACAGCACAACAGGTAACATGCATCAGACAAAACACAAATGATTCACGCATCACAGCATACACACACAACACAACACAACATAATTGATTCAAAGAACCACTCGCAACAACAGTTGCCACACCAAACACCACAACAACACACCACACCACGTTACACATTCCATCACACCACACTACACACCACACACTGCACACCACATGCGCTATACAGTACACTACACACACACACACACTGCACACCACACTGCACCCCACCCTTGTTTTTGTGGTCCATAAGGGCAGTCTCAGTGATCGACGCCCAGCCCAAGGCCATCACCCCCAGCGTCAAGATCAACAGGGATATGAGCCGAGTGCGCGAGGAGGGCCGCAACAAGAGGGAGATAAAGCCATGGCTTTCGGCTCACAGAGTTTGTGGCTATGTGTTTCAGTGCCTAAAAGGCTTGACCTCTTCAAAGGTTGGTGTCTCTCATGTTCTTATCAAAATACCTACAATGGATTACTCAGTTTTGAGTGTGATGCCTACACCTGAACTCAACGAGTAGTTTTGAGCGACAAGTACGTTTACGAGCGACAATGTGATCAGCACAGGATGGCTGGTCAAAATGTTTGTTCGAGCGTTTGGCCTTGCATGCGCATGCACTGTTTAGGCTGTGGCCGCGTCAGGGTTCTTTCTGTTGTGGAATGTGCGCTGCAAAGATGAGCTTCAGTGCCACATCGCTTGCCCCACTGATTTGCACCTTCGCCGCAGGTCTATTGCGAAAACGACGAATGGCAAGCTCAGGACAGCGGTTTTCTTGGGCAGGCCGCTGCGGGTCACTGGCTCAAGGCCAATCAGTTTGCCGCGCATATTATGTTTGCACATGTATTTACATGTGTTTGTGATGTGCATGTTTTCTTGATTCGTTTCTGCTTGCGGTTGTGTTGGCAGTATACATGTATATACGTATATGTGGCGCTTGTTGTTGGTCCAGTCATTTTAGCGTGTTGCTGGCTTTTCATGATGGCTGCTGTTTGGCTTGAGGCATGAAGGCTTGGTCCACAGGTGGCTGTGGCATGTGCCAATATTGGCAATTATTTGCTCATTGACAAAGCGGGCAAATTCAAAACTGTAAGCAAACGTGCAGGCCAGCGACTCGTTCCCAAGAGCCCTCAGCAGGCAAATGTCCTTTCCGTTGGCCCAATGAACGCACCAAGCTGAATTTGTGCCTGGCTCTTGGGTGCCAGTTGTTGGGGTGATACTGGTATTTGCAACAAAATCAAACAATCAGGACGAGGTGCCTGGCGTGCCGCACGTCCCATTCGTGGAGGAGAGGTGATGGTTTGAGCAGGCTTCAACTGGCTTCTGCTTCGGATTCTACACTAGTTGGAATTCATGCCCTGAGGATTGCCAGCGTCACTGTTTGTAACTGGCACAGCTTGGCCACCTGCAATGGCATAATGGGCGGCCATGCGCAGGACAGCGTTTACACGGTCAAGGTGCAGCCCGTGAAGCCCGAGGATGCGCCATGCTGGAGCAAGAGAGACGGGGAGTGACCTCGTCGCGAAGTCAGATACGATCAACGGCCTTCTTAGTTGCAAAGCGCCCGGACAGTCTTGCAATTGTGCGAGTGTGGGTCGGCGCAGACGGTATGCCGAAAATGCTGGCCAGGATGCCTTGACGCATCCTGCCCTCCTCCGACCTCGTAAGGAGGCGCTTGACCCTGTCTGATTTGGCGCTGTGTGTACGCAGTGCGGGGACGCGTCAAACCAAAAGGCCCCCCCCTTGCTGCTGCCAAAGCCAGCTTTGCCCATGTTTACTTGTGAGGCCGGGAAGCTTGCAGCGAGAGTTTTGCTTGGATCACGCCAGGTGTGAAAGATCCTTTCCGATCTGTTGCGGGTTCACTGCATGCATCATGCAACTAATGAACAGTGCGCGCGAGCTCTTTGTGCGTATAGCAGGCGGCGCGCATTGTATAGCACACGCGCGTCGCACACTGCATGCGGAACAACAGGCTCACCTCCCATGATCAGCTGAGTGTTTCGCGCTTCAGCTTGGAAAGTCTTGGACATACAAACAATCCTAAAGCTGGCAGTGCCATTCAGCAGCCATGGAAGCTTCCAGAAAGGAATATGTTCTTTCTTGGGCTTTCTTTGTCCTTGACCAGGATTCCTTTGGCAACGCCATATGCAGCAGAGCCGCAAGTTTTTCTTGCCAGCTATGCTGCACAAGTGTCAACACCGTGTGGGTTGGCACTACAAGAGGCATGTGCATGTTTTGCTGATAATTCCGGGTTTGCTTGTTAGGTGGAGAAATGCAAGAGGTCTCACTGAAGCTGCCCAGTTTGGCGGAAGGTTTGCTAAAGGACGATCCCCTTGACAACACGGCGTGTCTTGGAATAACGAGACAAACAAACACACAAACAAACAAAGAAGCAAACGCATCTTGCAATTAGCTACAGAAGCGATCATATAGAAGCAGGAGCCCGCGAGAGCATGCTTCAATCTTCCCTACGTACGTAGCTCACATGCGGCATAGGGGACAATGCGCCCTGCATTTGTGGCTAATCGTCGAATGATTTGACCACCCCGTGGACAATCACAACCTGTCTTGGGCTTTTTGTGTTTGAGCATGGAGCAGACTTGCCTTAGGTTCCAGCACTTCAATCATGGGAGTCTACAGGCTTGCAGTGTTGAAGGGCTGAGTAGGTTTGGTAGGTCAGCGAGAGCCGCTCGCCAGACCAGCATGCCCTGGTGCACGTTTCACGGCACGGCATTTGGCGTGATGTGATGCATGTGGCGCTTTTGCGCGCTCCACACATCCTCACGACATGAAGCTGGAATCGCTGAGGGTATCCTTCCATAGAGGGTCTTCTTGTGTAGGACTGGTCCTTCAAAGCTTTGCTAGCCCCGGGTGCCAGGAAGGCATGCTGACGAAGTATTCCATCCGGTCCTCCGAGTATATGGGCCCCATTGACAGCAGCGAGTCTACCATGTAGGCCTGGGGCCCATGGCAAGGGATCGGATCAGCGGA